GCACAAGTCTGGATGAAGATTCTCAGACCTCAACATTTCAAGGTTAAAGAAAGTAAACTTTAAAATGGATGCTGTCAGACTCTTAGTACTGCAGTCAGACTCTTAGTACTGCTGTCAGACTCTTATACTCTTAGTACTGCAGTCAGACTCTTAGACTCTGACTGCAGTACTGAGAGTCTAACTGCAGTACTAAGAGTATAACTGCAGTACTAAGAGTATAACTGCAGTACTAAGAGTATAACTGCAGTACTAAGAGTATAACTGCAGTACTAAGAGTATAACTGCAGTACTAAGAGTATAACTGCAGTACTAAGAGTATAACTGCAGTACTAAGAGTCTGACTGCAGTATTAAGAGTCTAACAGCAGTACTAAGAGTCTAACAGCAGTACTAAGAGTCTAACAGCAGTACTAAGAGTCTGACTGCAGTACTAAGAGTCTGACAGCAGTACTAAGAGTATAACTACAGTACTAAGAGTATAACTGCAGTACTAAGAGTATAACTGCAGTACTAAGAGTATAACTGCAGTACTAAGAGTATAACTGCAGTACTAAGAGTCTGACTGCAGTACTAAGAGTCTGACTCTTAGTACTGCAGTCAGACACTTAGTACTGCTGTCAGACTTATACTCTTAGTACTGCAGTCAGACTCTTAGTACTGCAGTCAGTATACTCTTAGCACTGTAGTTATACTCTTAGTACTGCAGTTACACTCTTAGTACTGCAGTCAGACTCTTAGTACTGCAGTCAGACTCTTAGTACTGCAGTCAGACTCTTAGTACTGCAGTCAGACTCTTAGTACTGCTGTTAGACTCTTAGTACTGCTGTTAGACTCTTAGTACTGCTGTTAGACTCTTAATACTGCAGTCAGACTCTTAGTACTGCAGTTATACTCTTAGTACTGCAGTTATACTCTTAGTACTGCAGTTATACTCTTAGTACTGCAGTTATACTCTTAGTACTGCAGTTATACTCTTAGTACTGCAGTTAGACTCTCAGTACTGCAGTCAGAGTCTAAGAGTCTGACTGCAGTACTAAGAGTATAAGAGTCTGACAGCAGTACTAAGAGTCTGACTGCACTACTTAGTACTGCAGTCATACTCTTAGTACTGCTGTTAGACTCTAGGTACTGCTCTCAGACTCTTAGTACTGCAGTTATACTCATAGTACTGCAGTTATACTCTTAGTACTGCTGTCAGACTCTTAGTACTGCAGTTATACTCTTAATACTGCAGTTATACTCTTAGTACTGCAGTTATACTCTTAGTACTGCAGTTATACTCTTAGTACTGCAGTTATACTCTTAGTACTGCAGTTATACTCATAGTACTGCAGTTATACTCTTAGTACTGCTGTCAGACTCTTAGTACTGCAGTTATACTCTTAGTACTGCAGTTATACTCTTAATACTGCAGTCAGACTCTTAGTACTGCAGTCAGACTCTTAGTACTGCAGTCAGACTCTTAGTACTGCAGTTATACTCTTAGTACTGCAGTTATACTCTTAGTACTGCAGTTATACTCATAGTACTGCAGTTATACTCTTAATACTGCAGTCAGACTCTTAGTACTGCAGTCAGACTCTTAGTACTGCAGTCAGACTCTTAGTACTGCAGTTATACTCTTAATACTGCAGTTATACTCTTAGTACTGCAGTTATACTCATAGTACTGCAGTTATACTCTTAGTACTGCTGTCAGACTCTTAGTACTGCAGTTATACTCTTAGTACTGCAGTTATACTCTTAATACTGCAGTCAGACTCTTAGTACTGCAGTCAGACTCTTAGTACTGCAGTCAGACTCTTAGTACTGCAGTTATACTCTTAGTACTGCAGTTATACTCTTAGTACTGCAGTTATACTCTTAGTACTGCAGTTATACTCTTAGTACTGCAGTTATACTCTTAGTACTGCAGTTATACTCTTAGTACTGTAGTTATACTCTTAGTACTGCTGTCAGACTCTTAGTACTGCAGTCAGACTCTTAGTACTGCAGTCAGACTCTTAGTACTGCAGTCAGACTCTTAGTACTGCAGTCAGTCAGACTCTTAGTACTGCAGTCAGACTCTTAGTACTGCAGTCAGACTTAGTACTGCCGTTATACTCTTAGTACTGCTGTCAGACTCTTGTATTTATTTTTCTCTTTACGTCGACAGAACCATCTTCAAGACCCAGCACTTCCTCCGACTTAAGTTTCCCGGAGGATTCTGAAATGTCACATTCTGAAGGTGAGGGACATTTCTACTGTTTATCATGGACCAATCACATGTTCTCTCCTTCTGCATCAGTTTATCATGGACCAATCACATGTTCTCTCCTTCTGCATCAGTCTATTATGGACCAATCACATGTTCTCTCCTTCTGCATCAGTCTATTATGGACCAATCACATGTTCTCTCCTTCTGCACTAAGCACCAGTAAAAACTAGATCATTTGAATAGTTCAGTGTAATTATTATTTTAAAAATGGGTGAATGTAAAGTGTGGATGAGTGTCTGCAGAGC